AGAACTATGGAAAGTAGACCCAATTATAACTTGAAATTACGTTTTCAAGCAGACAATGAATGTCCGACAAATCCGGGCCCAGAAACATTCCGCCATTATAATTGACATTTTCTTTGTTTGGGCCATTGGTATAAATGCATCTTTCTGCTCAGAGCGTACCTTGTTTGACCACAATAATTTTCTTCCCAGATAATATAACTAGTGGATAGTCGTACATTGCCCAGGGAGTCATCTTCAATAATATAAATGTAATCAGAGGGCATTTCGGAACTATAATCAGTCCCCTACGGAACATAAAGGGAGGGGGAAACCTGTGTTACCACATGATACCGGCCCACTAAGATTTGACTATTATGGTGATTGAACGTCAAGGGGACTAAGTCGGCTGGTGTTCTTTGTTTGGGTGTTTTAGTGAACGCACAAATGGAGGCGGCCAAGTGCTGCTCGCAAAAATTAGCCAACTCCAGACGAATTCTATCAGTGGAAGGAAAGTTCTTGCCGATCGTGCGACTGGCGTTGAAGTGTTGCACACGGAGGTGTGGAACAAAAGCCCTTACACATAGTGGAAATCTAAATGGAAATATCAATATCAGAACCCAAATAATTCAAACTTTCATTGGTTTCAATTATCGGACTTAGTCAATCTTGCGGCACTTGTGTTCCACACTTCATGGCGTCGGTCAAGAGTTTAGACGTTCAAAGTGTTCAAGTATGTAAATGTTAGTTGAGGTTCAGATAAGGTTGTGCTGCCAAGACAAAGTCGAAATTCATTGGTCAATTTCGGGTTGCTAGCTGATTCCAATGTTCCATGGTAGTTTTGAACTCCACAGTTTCAATATCAACATACAGCTCATGGAGTAAGATCTCGAACAACCATTGCATGGAATTTACCGGCTCTTCAGTATGGCTTGTGCCTCACCCCCACACTCTCCACTCTGCAGTGACAAAAAAATAAAAACTCCAAGACGGCCTAAGCTGCCCAAATACAACTCATAACCAGATTCTGAATATCACTTGGCTTTGGCTTCTAGCCGAATCCGAATCAGCACTTTCATTCTACATTTGCGAACGAATTCAAGGGGTAGCTTCGACAGAGTACGAGAAGGTAAGAATAAGAATGAACTCTCAGTCGACGAGCACACAATAACGACAAAAGTGAAGCTGGACGTTTAATGGTGGTCGAAACCCGTTATTTCTCTTGATATTCTAGCGAGGCCGCTGACAGCTGGAGGTCAGTCCATCATATCAGAAGGAGTTTTTACTCAACCCAAGAGCAACAAGGAAGCCATGCAGTGAACTACTCAATACTGTTTCCAGAAACTTAGGCTCGGGTATTTTGACCTTTTATTCCGTTTAGCAGTCGGCTTATTCCGTTTAGCAGTCGGCTACTCGGAATACTACAATATCGAACGTCAATGACGTACTTATGGAAGACCCAAAGAAGCATGCGCCATTTGCCCATGTGAGTTAAACCTTTTCAATTGTTGAATGAGCTTTGTAGCTAAGGCCAGAGCCAACTTCTAATCTTCCATTAGCCAAAGAACCCGGAAATCTCTATTTTCACAACATAACTCTGCATTGGGGGGAGCACAACGTCTAGGAATCGCACCTTCCAACACGAATCACCAGTCCTACAGAGGATGTCATTGAAGGAGAAAAAAACCAGAAAAAACAGAAAAAATATCCTGGCAGGAAAGGCCATTTATTTCGGCATTGGAAGAGGCGGAGCCACCCTTCCCACTTTCCCGAACGCTGAACTGAACTTCAGATGCCAACTGGCCATCAGTAGCGCACACCCCTGATTCTCTTGGCTATATCCCTCGTGTTATCACATTCTTTAACCCTGTTAATAACGAATCAGCCATCTGACTAGGTTCAATCGATAAATGTGCAAGACGTCTTCGAGGCTCATTTCATTTATGGTGGCCAACACGGGACATACCCGAAATATTCATCTTAAATTGCTCTATTCTAATGATCATTGCCAAAACCACTTCTCTTATTCGTCTTGTTTTCCCCGTCGTAATCAGAGTAACCAAAGCTATCTTGTCGCTTCGCAATCGCAGGGTCGTCATAATCATCGTAACCAAATTGTCTCTTTGTTTTGGCGGAATCTTCATAGTAACGGGGATATCCAAGGCTATGTTTTGTTCTCTTGTTCTTCCGACCACTTTCTAATGAAGTTGATAGGCTTCTGTCGCGGGACTCTTCTGCTGCTGCTGGAGCGATGTCAAGAGGGTTTGGAGCCTTTACCGCGGCGGTAGATTCCCGCTCTGTTCTTGCGATAAGACCTCCATCACCGCTGACTGGAGCCGAGAGAACTGTGACTGCGATTCCACAGAGGATGGCGGTAGGATAGACAAACCGCATTTTGGATATAAAAATTTGAGTCGATTTTTGGCTGAGATGTATGTGTTCTTTATTTGATTATGTTCTGCTTACTTGTGATGGAGATTTTATGTCAAATATGAGGAACAAGGTGCGATATTGTTCAGAGAATAGTTCTAGGGTTTTGGATTACCCCTACATTTATACTCCCAGGTTTTGGATTATCCACACTCATTCTTCCGACATTTGTGCTCCGTCCATCGTCCCCACCCCTCCCACAAACGGTAAAAAGAGACAAAGTCCAGGCTAACCTTGTTAGTGCCCCATCCATCAATGGCTAAGAGTTCTGGTGCGACATCATTAATCACTCAGCGTATCGGCATTTTTGACCATACTTTCACCTTTTGGGCTCGCGAGGCTCACCAGTGGCTGGATGTCCCATACCTCGTACAACACAGTTACATACATGACTCGAAACAACTGTAACTGATGCATGGTGTTCCATGAGGTCAACCCTATTGAGTGGAATAGTTGATGGATATCATATCCCGAAATCCCTGGCCCAAG